GAGTGGGAAAGTGCTTGGACATTTTGTCGCACTGTGCACGGGCGAGGCCTGGCGCCACACACTCACTTGTTATTAATAAGCCTGTGAAAGAATGTTGGGGAACGGTGTTTCGTGCCCCCCCCTCCTTTATCGTGGGCCAAAAAATATTTCGCCTAATTGACTCGCGCACATTTGTTGCTGCGACTGGCTGCTAGTCTGGTGGCGCCTCGCCACTCTGTGACACTGCCATAACCATTTCGAATTATTTTTTTTACTATTTTTTTTTTGGCTCTTTGGCCACCAAAGCGGAGTAATGCAAACAAAGAGCGCACAAGAGTCATGTATTCGCAGACGGAAAGTTTGTTAGGTTTATTTGCTGCCCAAAGATGGTGGCAACAGGAAGTGCAAACACCCATACACACACACACACACTCAAGAGTCAACACAAAGTCAGAGAGCAGGAGGAAGTTTGATGGAGAGAGAGCGGGCAGGAAAGCATACAAAAAAAAAACAACAAAGTCAAAGGCTGAACTAAGGAAAACAAAACATTCTGGCATTTCTAATTATAAGTAAATATTCATACTGACATTACCACCATGTACCATACTGTACATACGAGTGTGTGTGTGTTTGCGTGTGTGGGGAAAGCACTTTGAAAGTTATTTACACACATACACACACGCATATTGTGCCTGCTTTAAGAGAGCGAGAGAGAGAGGCAAAGGCAAAGGGGCGGAGAAGGAGGCAGCCATGTTAGGCAGCCCGTAATGCATGGTAAAAAGTGTGAGAAAGTACATTAGGGTCACTGACGACTTTGACTACACTACAAAGAGGCGTGGCATGGGGCGTGACCCGGCAGTGAAGCAGAGGAACGATGCCTGTTCTGTCCGCAATGGCAACCACTTTCGCTCTCAACTTGCAACATTTTGTGGCGTTGCGGGGTCGAGTGGTGTAAGCGAGTGTGTGTCCCTCTGTGTGTGTGTGTGTGTGTGTTTGTGTTTGCCATAATGTACAATTTAAATGTAAACAATTTGCCCCAACGCGGCATCAGCAGCAGCAGCATCAGAGAGAAAAAAGAACAAGCAAAGTAAAAGTCCGGGAAAGGAAATGGGAAAAGCAGAGTCCGGCCAAAGGCAGCGGCGGCACAGGGACAGGCACAGGCACAGGCACAGCCTGAACTCGGGCCGAATAAAATATTTAAAAGCCAGCAGTGGACCAACCCATCGAGGAGCGCCGAAGCCAGAGGAGGAGTCGAAGCCGTAGCATATGGCAATGTAGCACATGCTACAGCTACTGCTGCTGCTACTGCTACTGCTACTGCCGCTGTGAATAGTGAAACTCAAATATTTATCTTGGCAATTGCCGGTAATTTGGTTTAGTTCCGACTTGCCACCGTTCTAAATAAACTTTTCATTAGCCCGAGCACCTGGGCGAGTCGGGTTGTGAGGGGCTGGGCAGGGCAGGGCAGGGGTTTTTGGTTACAGATGGCACAGATACATATATAGATATTGCTGCAGAGCTCGCACTAATTTCGTTTAATTAACCAACTTATATTTTGCGTAATTGACTTGCATGTGCACACGCGTTTGGCTAATGTTTCAATCAAACTCTAACCAAATAAAAGCCGCTTTGGCCACACAAAAACAGAGAGCGAGGCAGGGACAGGGACAGTGGGAGAGAGAGCCGGCAATTGTATTGGCTGCTTCATTCTCATGTTGCAACAAGCAACAAAGAAAGCAAAATCAAAAGCAAAAGCCACAACCACAGAAACAGCAAAAACCACAACGCGCACAGAGCCGTACGAATTTGTGTAATGTGTCAACCCCAATGTCCCACATCCCCCAGTCGATCGGGAACTGGCACTTTCGCTTTAAATATCAATGCGATAGAACAATTTGGCCAACATATTTGAGCCAGAAAATGCGTACATATATTGAATGATTGCCAACATTTGTGCATGTGTTTTTTTCGTGTTAGTTCTATCATCTATTTATTGTCATTGGTGGTGGCTGCTGCTGCTGCTGTTTGCAATGGCACGACACGGCACACTTAGTGAATTTTTAGTTTATTTAGCGATACGCTTTGTTGATTTATTCTATTAGTGTTCTATTAGTATTTTCCCACTCTGGCAGTGGGTTCAATGAACTTTTGGACGGTGGCCAGCATTTGCTTTAAATGAAAATTACAAAACAAAATTCGATTCTTTTGCGCATTGCACGAAACCTTTAAGGCGAGAGAGAGGGAGAGGCACCCACAGCTTAAAGCATCAGGCAGCAGGCAGTAGCCGTAGCCGTAGCCGCAGCAGCCACAAACCGCGTGCAGGCCCACTGCATAATTAATGCATCGTTGTCTCCAGGCTGCGGCCTCGCCGGGTGGCTGCTCTGGATGGTGTGAATGTTACTTGGAACTAGGGCTGTGGGCTGTGGGCTGTTCATGGCCCCAGCCCAAATGGGGCACAATTCACTGCTGGTTGGCGCTCATCAGGGCTCCTCTTTTATGCATGCAAAGTAACACGCTGCGTATGCGCATTGTTCGCCGTAAACATAGCGCTTTAAGAGCCCTGAATCGAACATGAGAAAGCCCATATGGTAGCCCATATGCAGTATGCAGTCTGCCGATGGGGGAATCAAATACAACTTAATTATCTTGAAATGCACTTCCCATTTGCACGCTATTTAAAAATTCATTCGAAAAGTCTCACTCAACATTTCCTGCTCGTCGGCATTGTCTTAATTAGAATTAGAAAACAGCCATAAACACTCGGCGCTCTCAACGCATTCGCTGGAAATTAATTGATCCATGCTGAGGGCCTGTCAGATGCACCGATGCTCCGATGCACCGATCAGCTACGTGAAAACTCCCTCGGGCAGTAAAAATTCCGATTCCGATTCTCAATTGGAGAGGAAGCGCTTGTCTCGCCTCCCCCCCATTTGTCTTCGGCTGCGCTGCCTCTGGGTTAAGTAAGTTACAGGAGGGGCTAAAAATATCCACAAATAATGCGATGTGTCAAAACAAAACATCAAAAACGAGGAAAGAGGGGCGGGTAGGCGGGTAGGTAATGCTCTCGGGGAAACCTTAATATTTTTGGGGACCTGAGGCCCTGATGGTTGTACAGGGCGTACATCAAAGACGACAAAGACGTCGCTGGGCTGCCAATAAAAGAATTAAATGTAAGCGTAAATCATTAAAAACGAGCAGACGATTGCCGCTAACAACTGGGCAAATGCCAGCGACAATTATATAAATAGATTGCGGCTCTGGGAGGGGGGTGACTTGTGTGGAGTGTGTGGCACATCAAACGTGGCCCTAACAGATCTTTATGCGTTGTCTAATTGGTCAGGAGAGGAGTCCAGGGACCGGCAAACTGCAGCACAAGGCCTTCCGTTCCGTTGTCTCTCTCTCTCTCTGGGAATTGTATGGCACACAGCCATTTGCCTGGCATATCCTGTCCCATTCATAAGGATTTACGGCTAGGTGTCGTCGTCTTGCACGGCCACATATTTGCTCTGCTTGCCGCAAGCCAAAGCGTTGACAAATTGCAGCATAGGCAAGCAGCAGCAGCAGCAGTAGCAGCATCAGCGCCGGAAGCGTTGCCATGTTTGCCATTTTGCTCAAGTTGTCAGCGCGAGTGCACGCCGGAAAGTATGCAACGCAATATAACAAATGGCTTGCGGCTTTGTGGGGCAACGAACACAGCTTAGAAGCAGCCATGGCGAGCGAGAGAGAGAGAGAGCTCCAAAGAGCGAAAGTTTTCAGCAAATTTCAATAATTTTGCAATACTTTTTCCAGCTTACGCGACTGCATACATTCCGCGTTCCAACCGTAATCCTGTCCAGAACTCTGATCGGATCGCATCGGAGGGGACACCACTCCACTTCACTGTTGTGTGTTTTGTTGCTGCTGTAGAAACCATTTGAACATCAAAGTGCCACGACAACAGCAACAAAAAAAAAAAACAAAAAAAAATGCCTTTTAAAATTGTTTGCGAAATGAAAGCGTTGCCGCAACACTGCTGAATGGGATGGGATCGAGTTTGGTGGTAAACCCGCTTAAAATTCAAAGCTGAGTGGATTGAGTGGGGTCGCGGTCGTCTGGCTGGGCTGGGTCATGGCGATGGAGTTGCGTTTCGTCCTTAAACTTAAATTGCATTAAACAGAGCGGCAAAATATTGCATGGAATATATTTAAGCGGACTTTAAGGCTCAGTGGCCAAAGCAGCCAACAGCTGATAACTAAATAGGCAGCCGCGCGACGGCAACCACATTATTGTTTGCCATGGGACATCTCGGCTGGGGCTGGGCTGGTCTGGGGCAGGGGCAGGTCACAGATGACAGAGGACAGAAATAAAAGAAGCCGTTCAGGCGGAAACAATGTGGAAATTTTACAGGTTGCCCTGTCAAATAAAATAACTGAAAACACGGCGAATGGCGCTCGGTGCACAAACAAAAACCCACCAGAAATCATTTTTCACTAAAAATAAAAAAAAAAAAAAACAACGAAGAAATAACTGAAGGAGGAACCAAAAAAAACGAAAAACATCAAATTCAACAACGCCAAACGACGCCACGACGGTGACGACAACCAACCGGCAACCGGAAGCAGAGCACAACGACAAGAACCATACCGGGGAGGTTTGGGGTGTGTGTAGGGGTGGGGTTGTGGGTTTGGGATGGGTTCTGCTCTGCTCTGCCATGAATCGCAGGCGGGAAGCTTTGTGTTAAAATAACAAACAATCAGCCGAATCATGCAGGAAGTGCAAATAATAAATAAATATATCGCGCAGAGAGCTATTTCTTCTTCAATATCAACCTGGCAGTTTCGATTGCTTTTTTTTTCACTCCACCAACCAACCACCCACTCACCCACCCACCCACTCACCCACTCGGGTCACCCAATCATCCTTGCCACCATTTGGGGCGTCAGTTCTCATGCCTTGACAATATAAAACGAACAAAACATATATATACGAATATAAATACTAAACTTTCATCTTTTTCTCCCATCTTATTGCCCGTTTTGCAGTACCCGCCCGATTGGTATGGGCCGCCCTGGGCAAGACGGTGGAGCTGCCCTGCGACCTGACACCACCCACGCCCCAGGACTCGGTGAAGCTGCTGCTTTGGTTCAAGGACACCACCGGCATACCATTGTACAGGTGAGTGTTTGGAGCCCTAGTTGTTTAGCTCAGCGAGAAAAAAAAAAAAAGGGGCAGGTCCGCTATTCGCTCTCATCCACTCCCACTCCCTGAGCCTGCCAGACAGCCATCCATCAAAAGCGTAAAATAATCGTCAACATCCCTTTTGCTACACTTTACGTGCGAGTTTCTCGCTCTCTCTGTTCTTTTTCTTCTCTCTTTTGCGCGTTTTTGGCTTATTTCCGGCAGCTGCCAAAGCTACCACATGTGTGCGTCGGTGTGTGTGTGTGCAAGCGAATGTTTTCGGGGCAAGGATGCGCCCCGTCATAATCCACTTTGTTATAATAAATGTAAAGCACATCCGATTACAGCTGTCGTTGCTAAAGTGTAGCAAATTTTCACGCATACACGCAGCGGGCGTGGCCACGCCCCCCTCCGTTCTCATGCGGATTTTTTTATAAATTTGCGCTGATAAATTTTCAATATAAATTGTGGCCAGGAACGGTGTGTCCTGCATGCCAAGTGGAAAGTGGCGAATGCCTTCGACTTTGCGTGCCACAGCCACAGCACACTCATTAGAAGTGGGTGGCAGGAAGGCAGGGGGGCACAGCACTGGGATCTGTGTCAGAGCCATGCACGTGAAGTGGAAGTGGCCGGCACTCGATAATCATAAACAGTGCAGTGCAACAGCAGCAGCGGCAGCAGCAGCGGCAGGGCCAGTATCAGTGGCCCCTGAAATAAACAGAGTAATTTGCTAAAACAGCAACAAATTACTGCAATTTACGCAAAGCTGCCAAAGTCGCAACGTGGCACGAAGCAACAGCAACTGAAGCAGCAGAGCAGAGCTGAGGCACCCTCAAATGCACACAGACAAACGAACAAACACTCGAGAGTCGAGAGTCGAGTCGGGAGTCGAGTCCGTAGTCGGTAGTCGACTACCAGGATGATGGCTCCCAGGCTCATGGCTCATGGTGTGCAAATTGAGCGTCATTTTTTATGAACGTAAATTATGCCAGAGGGAGAGCGAGAGCGGAGAGAGAGCGGGGAGGGAGAAAGAAAGCATGAAAGAGACGCCTGATAATGGTGGAAGGTGGCACAACTTATGCTCCCTGCATATGTTTATTTATGACATCTAATAATCGCTACATGCCCCGCCCCACCCATCCACTTACACTACACATACCGAGTTTATATCCCTTTTATTTCCGCAGCCTGGACTCGCGTAGCGGAAATGTGAAATTGGCCCCACATGCGGCCATAGCTAGCGATCTGGGGCAGCGTCTTTTCTTCAGCATCGGCGATAATCCCAAGGATTCCCGCCTGCAGATAAACGACGTTAAGCCCGAGGATGGCGGCGTCTACCGCTGTCGCATTGATTTCTTCAACTCGCCGACGCGCAACTTCAGGCACAACCTGACCCTAGTGTGTGAGTACCGGCAATGCAATTCATACACAGCTCTTCGAGTGGCAACAAATTGATTTTCTCTTGCCTGTCCCTGTCCCTGTCTCTGTCCCCATTTGCAGTGCCGCCCGAGGAGCCGCGCATCTTCGATGCTCAGGGCAAGGAGATATCACAGCTGGCGGGGCCGTTCCGCGAGGGCTACGAGCTCTTTCTCTGCTGCCAAGTGAGGGGAGGTGAGTACCCACCAGCCCACAGCTTGCAAGTGTCTGTGTGTGTGTGGTTTGACCCACTTAACCGCAGTCTGCCTGCCTGCCTGTCTGCCTGTCTGGCCCAACGGCTGCTGAGCCGTCAATTGCAAGTGTCACTCATGTGCGTTTTTCTTTCCTCTATCTACCCGCAGGTCGTCCTCCGCCCAAGGTCACCTGGTGGCGCGACGACACCGAGCTAATCGGCACCAGCCACACATCCGTGGAGGAGGGCGCCACCGTGATGGTTAATCAGCTGCTGATTGGCACCACCACCCGCGACTTTTACGGCGCACGCATCGAGTGCCGGGCTCAAGGCACCCGCCTGGTCGATCCCGTCCGGAAGGATGTCACCGTGCAGGTTCACCGTAAGTCCCAGTCGCTTGGGAAATCTCAACACGAAACAAATATAATATCTGTTCCTCTCCCTCTCCTCCCCCCTAGTGAAACCCGTTCGCGTGAAGATCGTCACACCGAATGATCTGCTGACCGCCGGCCATCCCGTGCCCATTCGCTGCGAGTCCTGGGGCTCGTATCCGGCGGCCAAGATTGCCTGGCTGCTGGACGGCGAGTCCATACGCAATGCCGACGTTACTGTGCACAGCGACAAGGAGGTAAGTAGTACTGCCACATGCCACAGCGGCAGGCCCAGTCCTGGTGCTCTCTAAATTGGCCCAAATTATCTGGCGATATGCGGAGTAGGGCAAAATAAAGTTTCCCCGTTCCCAGAACAACGCAACTTTGCAGCGTTTGACATTTGATAGTTGGCCGCAGTGCTGCAAACACTTACACTTGCACACAACAAACAAACACACACACACAGACACACTTGTCTCGCAGAGACTCTCGTGTAACTTGTGGCAAGTACGCTTAATAGCATCAGAGGCGGCGGCCAGCAGCAGCAACAACAAGAGCCACTGAGGCGACCACTGGGTGACCCTCAAAGCAGGGCAAACTTTTGCAGCAGCCGCAAAGAGACACACAGAGACGGAGAGACAAAGAGAGAGAGTGAAGCAGACAAGTTGGCTCTTCCACTTCCACCTCCCTTCCTCTGGCTTCACCCCCCATTTGGCTTCTTTGATGAACTACCCAGAACGGAAAGTTTGCTCCGAGCTGCACAAATTTGCACTTCACGGACGGACATTGATGCCGGCTAATGTGCGAATTTCTATTTGAATTTATGCGCAAATACCAAACTATTTGTTTGAAAATGGGTCCAATTTTTTTTGCACATCTGGTGTACGCATTTATCAGTTTGCATGCAACACGACGCTCTGATGGCAGCTCAGTTTTGTGGCATCCATTAGTGCGCTCTGCCACTGCCTTTTTCGGGTTTCTAATTATGCCATGTAAATGGATAGAGACACATCGAAGCTGGGGCTGGGTCTGGGGATGCCAAACGTCGCCAGACATTAGTCAACTCGTGCATAACCGATTCCTGCTGCCTCACACAGAGATGGGGTGAATGGATGGGCAAAAGAAGAGAAGAAAAGCTGAGCCACCAGTACTCGTTATACTACAGCTCGATGTCCTGTCCTGTCTCCTGTCCTGTCTCCTGTCCTGTCTCTGGCTCCGGCTTCGATTGTTGCCAAAACGATGCCTGACTCTGCACTGGCTCTGTCGTAACTTAATACCTCGCTGGGGGCGTCCATGGGCTGCCCCACAGCCACTGCTGCTGTGTTGCCGATGCACAAGGAGAGTCTCTCTCGGCTTAGCTCGAAACTACACTCATTATTCTGGAAAGCCGAGCAGTGGCATGCAAGTGGAGATGCCACAGAATGCAAAGAGAGAGAGAAATAACATAACGATGCTCTTCCTGCCATTTAAAGGACCCATTTTTGGGACAATTTTTTTGCATTTAATTTGGAGTTATTTTCCAGTCAATAATATTTGCATTTTTTTTTTTTTGCTTTCACAGGATGGCAACATCACGACCAGCATTCTGACGCTGAAGGTGACGTCGGAGAACGACAATGCCGAGCTGACGTGTCGCGCCACGAATCCTTGGTTCTCCGGTGGCGCCATCGAGGACAAGCGTATCATACGTGTGGCATGTGAGTAGAGAGTGCACATATATAGATTTGCTTTGCTTGTTCAGCCCCCGTGACAGGTGAACTTCGGTCGATGGAGATGCCTGCCTGCCTGCCTGGCTGCCTCCCTGCCTGCCTTCAATTATCTCCACAAAGCAGGAGTCTGCTTTGTAACTGCACCTCACTGTGGGTCTGTGGGCTTTCGCTTGGTATGGACTCTGGGGCCATGGCCAGGCCAGGGCAGGGCCAACGATCACCTTTGCTGTATCCTTTACACAAACGGCCCAAGGCTTAGCCATCTCTCTCTCTGTGTGGTTGGTTGTCTGGGCTGTGTGAAAGCACTCTCCTCCAAGGAAAGTCCAATTAGAAGCATATTAGGGCCAGAGCCAACATAATTTTATTAAGGGGAAAAGGAGCTCGAGCTGGAGCTGAGAGCTGAGGCCAAGCCGCTTCGGGGCCATGTCTCCCATCCACCTGTTGGCAATGCCATGCCATCATCTTATCTTTCCCGCTAAGCTGCTTATAAAATGCAGTCGAGTCCTGGTCCTGCTCCTAGTCCTGGGTCGTCGTCGTCGTTATCGTCTTCGACTTGCCTTGATTAAATTTTCACAGTTATGTTTCTATTGCTCTTTTCTTTTTTTTTTTTTTTGCTGGCCTCCATAATATTTGCAACATCCGCTTCCGGCTGCCGTTTTACATTATTTCGACCTTCTCTGCTGGTCCCTCCTCCTGCTGCTGCTGCTGCCGCTGCTGCTGCTCCTTTGGCCGTGCGGAGAGTGAGAAAAGAGCAGAAATCGTTGTGAGTGGCCTTCTGTATTACCTGCACTCAAATCAGGCCGGAACCGAGCTCGCCTCGTCATCTCCAGCCGAGTTCATTTGGGTTTTCATTTTTTGCGGCTTTTTAATAATTCACCATCAACTTAAGCAAAACCTTTTTTTTTTTTTTTGCCATCTTCTGCCCAGACCCCGCCATTGACATTTGCCCCAAAAAAAACTTAAGACGGCAGAGTGGGGGAGCCATAGTTTTGTCCACCCAGCACGGTGCTCCATCCATGGGGACTGCTTGGGGCCAAGTGGCGCCGACAGTCTCCGACGCGTATTAGATTTTTACAACCGTAACTAATAGTCCCATTTGGCGTGTGGTCAAGAGGCCGTGTAGCAGTGGCAGCAGCAGCAGCGCAGCAGTGGGATGAGGCCCAAAGGATGTACGGGGGCGGTCATCACAACAAAAGACGCCTCCCCTGCTCTGGCAGCTGGAGTTAAGTACATTACGCAATGCTGTCTGGATCGGACATAACTGAAATTGGGGTGGGCAAAAGCGAGAGCGAGGGCGAGGGCCCGGGCCCGGGCTAGGGCGACTGTGTGTACCGAGTTCACCTTATGAGCCATTGCCGTTTATTATTTTGACTTTTATTCAGCCATTTGTAGCGCTCATTAAGCTGGATGCCCGCACTTACTTATCCCCTCTCACTTATTTCTCCACAGATCCACCCACCGTGTCGGTGCACTTGGCCAACGAGGATCCCAGTCGTGTGGTGACGCGCTCCGAGGGCCAGAATGTCACGTTCAAATGCCGTGCGGATGCCAGGCCTCCGGTTACCAGCTACTCCTGGTTCAAGAATGTAAGTACCACCACCCAACGACCAACAGCTGACGTGTATCAGCAGACACATTTTTTTTTCATTTTCGTTTTTATTATCAATTTTTGGGCCGCTGCTGGCCTGAGGCATCCGCATTCCGGCGGCATCATAAGCAGACACTTTTGCGGTTTAATTTCATTTGGCAGGACTGATGCCACAACCGAGCTTTAAGCCCCGCCTCGAATTCCTTGGGGGGTGCGAGAGGAATGTGGCTGGCCACATGGCCAAATTTTGGACTCATTTTTCAAATGTCTTATAATTGGCTCATGATGTCCGCTGAAGTCCATTCGTGTCGCAAATTATTTAACTATTAATCATGCGACAAATAAACCGAAAGAGATTGAGATTGCCGCAATCGTTCAGACGCCCACTCGCACATTGCTTTTTCTCGAAGGGGTCTCGGGGTCCCTTTGCTGGTTTGGCTTTGACTTTGTCTTGGCGTTTCTTCTTTTATTATTATTATTAAACCGCATGATTCTGACATCCTTTGACAGTTTTGTCCACATGGTCACATCATCATTTTTCATAACTGCCCAAAAACCCTAAACCCAAGCTCATATTTTTCTCTTGCCTTTGCCTTTGCTGCTGCTTTTTTTATTTTTCTTTTCCCTTCTGCCAACCAACCAACCCACGTGCCCTGGTGGGGCATTTAACAAATTGCCAAAATCGTTTTGGGCAGGGCACGAGGCACGCCACAAGAAAACTTCTCTGCGCAGAATTTCGTACATTGTGATTTTTGATTTTCGGTTTTTCTTTTTTTGCTTTTTTCTGCTTGGCATTAATAGGCAGAAAGAAAATATCGCCGGGAATTATGAAAAACGAAGCGCCAAATGTGCGCAAAAAAAAGTTCAGCCAAACTTTGTCACTTCTGCGAGGAGTCCTTTGACGACAGTTGGACATATATATTCTCCTTATCGTCTTCGGGCTTCGGGTTTGGGTTCTCTTTCTGGGAACTCAAAGTTTTCACTTGGTCAGCGTTAAAGTTTTGCTCAGCTGCGGAAAGTTTTCTTAAAATTAATAATAAGAGAGAAAAAAAATTAAATGCCATCAGGAAATTAAATAAAACGACGACGCACTGAGCTGTGTTACGCGACAAAATGGATCGTTGGGCCAGGGCCAGGGCCAGGACCAATGCAATTATTGGCACTGCACTCCATCAGCCAGGACTCTCAACTGCGCCTTAATGAATTTTGCAAATAATCAAATGATGCAACATGGCCAATTTGTGGCGGATCCATAACGCGACATGCAACAGGATGTGGACGTGAACGTGGACGTGCCCACAGGGAGCCACACTCTGTGTGTAGCTGTCAATATGGCAGAGATGCGTTGGGCCTGGGCATGTGCATGGGCGTTGGCATGTTGCATGTTGCATCCTACTTAAGCCATTTAAATTGCATTATTATTATGAATTAATTAAATTCATGTGCAAATGTCAACCGGGGATTCCGCAACTAAATATTTAATCGAATTATTTCGAGAGCCAAGCTGCGTTAATGGAGCCTTTGGCATCCCGCCTGGAATCACATCACTTGTCGGCATCCATTTCCATTAAATTACTTTGCACTTTGCACAGCCCGTGTCCGGTCGCGCCGAATGCCAAATGACAAATGCCCAAAACACACACACACACACACACACACACACACACACACACAGACACACAAAATATTAATTTGATTAAATAAATTCATTTAAGCCCAGCAGGCCACTAAGTGACCGCATTAGGCCATGCCAACCACAGCCGCTGACCCTCCAACCCATTCAACCCCCATTGCCAAGAGATTAGCATTCTGGCTGCATTGCGGTTGCCATTTTGGTGTTGCAAGTGTCACGGTGCATGTGGGATGTGGGTGCGAATGTGGCCATGTGGTCGGTCGTTGGACAATGGCAGCAGAAGCACCGCAATTTGTGACAACAGAAAACCATTTTCTTTTCAAGGCGTAGCATATGCATCCGCATCCACATCCTCATCCACATCCTCATCCACATCCACATCCTCCATTCTGTGCCATGGATCAATGGCTGGGGATTTGCATGGCACTCACAATTCAGACTCATAATGATATTCTTGTTCAAATCTCTTTTCAGGGCATGCGTATGTCGGGCGAGAGCACGGACATAATGCACTTGACGCAGCTGGAGCGGGAGAGTGCGGGTGCATATGCGTGCGGGGCCACCAACACGGAGGGCGAGACGCGCAGCTCAAGTCTCACGCTGAGATTGCAGTGTAAGTAGAGCATCCACACACACACCCACACACACACACATACACAGATACACACAGATACATCCAATAAGAGCAAAGGCAATATGATGAAATAACATGGCGCAAGCCGGAAACGGAAGCTCCAGAATAAAATCAACTTGCAGCGAATGCGCTAATAAAAGTTACCAACTTTCTGCTCAGCAGCAGCAGCAGCAGCAGCAGCGTAGCGGATGGGGAAAATGCTTAGAAATGATGCATGACCGTCTCCGTCTCCAACTATATTTGTGTATCTCTTACTGTATCTCTCCCCCTCTCCCCCCTCTCTCACGCGGTGCCCTGTTTACAATTGTTCAAATTTTGTGCTGCTGGCCGCTGGCCTAAAACCACCGCGCGCCATTGATTTACAGACAAAAGTTTTGACTATAAATCCAGCACGCAATTTTTGACTGGGCCAACTTTTTCATAAACTCCTTTCCTCGGGGGAGCACAGCCGGAACAACGGCCCTTGGCTATTTGCTGCTTGTGATTAATGTGGATATCATAAACCCTTGCTGAAAGCGATTTGCTTGCCAGAGAACCAGAGAACCAGAGAAACCAGAACCAGAGATGAATGTGCCAGCTCTGCTCCACAGAGTGAGCCTTAAATATCAAACACATGAACAGGAAAAAAGGACTAGAACGTGGGCCCAGGCATTCTTCATTCATCGAAGCAAGATTGTGGGGAGTTGCCTTTTGTTGCCTGTCTGAGATGTGGCTTCAACATTTATTGTGTGTTGGCAACCACAACAACAACAAAATAAAATCTTTTAATGCCCCTCCCCCTCACCACCGCACACAGTTCGTGGACCGAACCCAAGAGTCGACAATCTGAAATGCATTTCTACCCTCCCCTCCCCGCTGCATAAGCTATACGACAGTTTAAGTAGTTTATATTTGAAATTATGAAAGTTTCAAGTTTCCGTCGCAGCAGAAGATAGAAAGAGGGGGAGAGGGAGAGACAGTCTTTGCATTGAGTTTCGGGCTTAAGGTAACTTTTCTCCACATTTGCACACACCCAACCCCCACACACACTTACACAAGCAACAAGTACACACTTTGAGAGAGAGATGGATGGAGAGAGAGACAGACACAGATACAGACAGGGACTTAGACACTGACAGATGGCTTAAGTATTCGACGCTGAAATGCAGTTGACTTGTGATAAAGGAACGTAGTAATAGAGCTTCAAATGCTTATCTGGCAGGGCGTGACTTACATTTTAAAAGCGGCTTTCAGCGCCGAACGAACTCCGCCCAGTGATGCTGCAAAGTATTGGAGCACACAGACGTAAAATGCCTGAGGGGGGCACTGTGCCAATGCTGCTGCTGCTGCCGCATATCTGCCCTCATTTCCAGTGAAAGTAAAAGCAGAGTCGAGCTGGCTGTAGTATTTCTTTGCTCCAAAACCACCTGCCACATGGACTTACCCGCTAAGCAACAACAGCGCCAGCCAGCCAGCCCCGCCCGAACCACTCTCGACGCTCGTGAAACGGAAACATGTTAATTACTATGCTCAAGGCTATGTAGCTATGTAGCTGCCTCGACTTCCCATCCTCAAATACCCATCCCCTTCCCCTTCTTTCTTGTTTCATATTTTTGTGTGTTTTTGCGGCACTCCTCCCAAGAGAGAGAGAGAGAGCGAACGGGAGACTGTTTGCTCTCCAAGGGGGTGGCACAACAAATTTAAAATGAAAACTTTTTGCTGCCTAACAACTTGGGAGCAAAGCTTACATACATACATACACACAGATATACACACAGATATACAGATATATGTACATATTTATGAAGTTCCTCTCTCTCTCTCTCTCTTTGCAGTCTCCCCGCGCTGTAAGCCCGGCACTGAGCAAACATCCATTGGAGCCATCAACATGCACTCGATACAGGTCAAATGCGAGGTGGATGCCGATCCACCGGATTCGGTTCGATTCAGCTGGACCTACAACAACACCCGCAACGTGTCCCCGGTAAGTCTCTCTCAGAGGGCAGGGCCACGCAAAGGCAAGGGTAAACCTTTCGAACCCAGACAGAACAGAACTTATTGTGCCTGTAATTACGCCTGGAAACGTGCTGCAACTCGAGAACGGACTCGACTCGACCCTGGTTGTCGCAATTACTGCCAGGCAATAGCAATAGCAAACGAAACAGGAACCAAGTCCAAGTTCCAAGTCGGTTCCGCACTACTATTAGCAAAACTTGTGCTAAATACTCGAGGGTTGTCTGGGATTTTCCTTCGTTCGTTCCTCCTTTCGTTCGAATCGAAATCGGACACTGTACGTGACTGAATTAAAATTTAATCAAAATGTATAAATTTGTGCAGTCCGAAACGGGGGGACACACACAGCGCATATGGCGCTCCAACGCCCCCCCTCGAGTATATTTAAAATGCAAACCGTTTAGGTGTAAAGCACAAGGACCGACTGCAGGACTGCAAAGTTGGCAGCAAGGCAAATACGTAGATAGATAGATAGATATTCGTAGATGTAATACCGGCCCGGGTGTGCCTAAATAGCTGACCAAACGAACCGAACCGAAAGAACGACATGCATATGCGACTGGGGGGTGGGGGTACAGCAGCTGTGCCCAATAAATAAAGTAATTCATTTACCGCAAAAGTTATTTGAAAATCTGCACGAAAATCCGTAGAGCCACAGGATGACTTATCCAGTCTCCAACTCGTTTCGTTTCGTTTCGTTTGCTTAGCAATAAAAACTTATTTGCCTTCAAATATTTATGCTCGCCTGCCTCCGTGCTTTCGTTTGGGTTGCGGTGGTTCTTTGGGTTCGAGAGCTGCATCTGATTCCGCCTACGTCTGCAGAAAAGCCACCTAACCACCCTGCTGCCCACCCTGCTGCCCCCACCCCCATGAGAATAGCAGTGAAGACGAGAGTCGGAGACCACTCTAATCCTTTGGCTTTGGCTTTGGCTCCCTTTCTCCCTTACAGGTGCTCAACTCGAGGATACAATCGAATGGACTGGCCAGCACGGTGACGTATCTGCCGCAAACCGACTCCGAGTTAATAACGCTTGCCTGCTGGGCCAGCAATGCGGTGGGCCGCCAGACGACGCCCTGTCTGGTGCACATTCTCCCTGCAAGTAAGTAGAGGAAGTTGTTGCCAGAAGATGCCGGCATTTACCTCCATCTTCACCGCAATTTAAACAAGACGCCAGCAAGACTTTGCCAGTGTATGTGTGTAGGTGTTGGCTGATGTAAGTGTTGGCTGGTGTTGGCTGGTGTTGGTGCTGCTGCCGGTGTCGGTATCCGTGTCCGTGTCCGTGTCCGTGTCGGTCTGAGTCTATCTCTTATGCACACATAAGGATCTACTTACATAATTGGCGAGTGTATGTGCCGAGTGCTGATGGGGGGATGGGATGGGGTTGCCGGTACCGAGGTTATTCCCGGCTACAGCTCCAAGCCCTGCCCCGGCTACTGCTACTGCTACAGCTCCTGCTGGGCTCTGACATAGCCAAAATGTTGCCAAATAATCGTCGGGTTGGTCGCCCACCCTTCCATTATGGTGGGTGGGGGGGCGGAGTACCACGATGATGCCAAGACTATACCCAATCTGGCTGTTATTAATGCAAACTGAGGGCGTGGCACTGCATCGGCCGCCAGTGCGCGTACTATTTGCAGCCAAAGTGCCGTTTAAAGGCACCCCGGCAAAATGGGAGCTGCTCTTAAATGCAATTACGGGGGTCTGCGGGCCCATTAAGCCACGACTTCACCATGACTATGACTAACTGCTATCTGTGCTGCACCTCTCTCCTCCTTCTCCTCTGTAGATACTCCGGAGGCACCCAAAGCCTGCGAACTGCGCAACGACACCATCCTGGAGGTGGTCTGTGTGGCTGGCAGCGATGGCGGCCTCTCGCAATACTTCATGCTCGAAGTTGTGGGCGGAGATCTGCTGTACTCCAGCGACTCGGCGTCGCAGGGCCCCAGCCAGGGCCGTGGACAATTTGGCGAGGCCGTTGGCCTGGGCGACAATGAGATATCCACGCTGAACGATCAGGTGAGTGCAAGAGAGAAGGTCCCCCAATCGAGTTATCTCCTAAGTTGATAAGTTCCACTCCTAACGAACTTAACAGGCATGCAAAAAAAACTGCAAAATTGCTCAATTAAATTAAAATTTTACTTACAATTCAGCACACAGCCAGAGGGCAGAAATAGAAACAGAAACAGAAAGGGAAAGAGAACCCAGAAACAGGAGCACAGCCCAAAAGAGTCCGAGCAATAATTCACTTGATATCCATATGGTCAATTAGTGTGCATGTCCTTTGACTTTTCTGCTTGAATTATTAATAAATATTTAGGGGGCCAGTTCGGTTGGGGGGGGTTTTGCTGCTCAACTCAAGTGTAAAAGGGACAACATAATTAATGACAAGATTCTCCTCATGTGCGATGCTGAGCCAAAGCCCTGCACTGCATTGACGTCTCACTGGCACAGTGTCGAAGTCCCCTGCTAAGGGTAGTCAGTCCCCTTGCACCTCTGGTCTGGGCAGTACCCTTTGTCCCTTTTCTGGGCGAACCAAGCGAATGCATGCTGAGTTATTAAATTATCTCTGTCACTGCTAAATGAGAATATCATATGAAAATTTCATTTCATTTCGTTTGGTTGCTTTCAACAACTGGAGTTCAGTCCTGGTGCTGCTGGTCCTGACGCCGGGCCGAGTGGTTGGACGGTGGCGGGGGGCTTACTGATGAAGCGCTTGCCGAAGCGAGTTTATTAGCAAAGTAGCCAAGCGCAAAGCTCATCAGAACGATGATCACGATGCTGATGATGATGATGAGAAGTCCCCACCCACGCATACTCTGGACAGAGTCTGACCCACGCATTGGTCCGTTGGTTGGCAGCTTTAAAGTTTCATGCTAGATAAAAGCCACACACACACACACATCCACAACCACATCTGTAGCTGTATATGTATCTGTAGGGGGAAATCGGACGCAGAAGAGTGTGGCAAGTGTGGCAGAGGGAGACCGGCAAAAGTGCCGCAAGGACAACATAAATTACTTACGCTTACTTGAGTGGGAATTTGTGCGTAACCAACGGAGCTCACTCGATTGTGTCCCATTACGGCAAACGGATATTCAGTTTAAAATTTCAGACACTGTCCCATAGACTCAACTCCTGTTTCTGGCTCTGCTTCTGGCTCTACTCCTGTTTCTGGCTCTGGTTCCTGGCTCTGCTTCGGTCAGCGAATCCCTATCCCTATCCTCTTTACCGGTACAGTTGTGCTGTGTGCTTGATATGTGGCTGATTTCATATTTTTTAGGCATGAATAATTATTTTTGGGCACCCAAAAAGTTGAAAATACATGGGGCAATACATGGCAGGGAGTCCAACTAGAGCTTCAGTCCATATGGCGGTTGAATTATATATGCGCCCGTTGTACATACATACATACATCTGACTGTATCTGTATCTGTGTATCTGTGTATAAATGTTTTGTATCTCATTTCAGGCGACATCTGCACCCATCTTTCGCATGCAGGAGAACAGTCCACAGTTTCGTTTGAATAATTTAGAGCCGGGACGTGAATATCAATTTTTAGTTTATGCCGTCAACGCCAAAGGAAAAAGCGAACCGCCGGTGGTGATTGAGCGCGTACGCGTGGCCGCACAACTGGGACCATATGGTGAGTAGACCCCAAAAAACACACACACAAAAAACAAAAACCAAAAAAACAAGAAATGGCACGAGACAACTAAGCAGAAAAAGGAAAGCAAGGAAAGCAAGGAGAGAAGGGAGAGCCACTCGTACTAATCACATAAATAGTGAAAGAAATGTGCAGCCGGTTACAAGTTTGTGGGTCACTTTCATTTCTGGGTCGTGGCCCGGACCAATAAAATAGCCTGAAAAGGGGAGCGAGCCCCGGAGTCTTCGAGTCCCCAAAACAGCTGAGGACGGAACTGTCTAATTCAACGCTTGACTGCATTTTCAAATCAACGCAAGTTGGGGGAAATCGTCTTCAATCAGCCGCCGCGAAAACTTCGCACATGGCTACGCAGACACACACACACACACACACACACGCACACACGCAGAGAGCAAACCTGGAGGAGCATCTCCTGAATGCCAGAAGTCCTTCTGCCGTTCTGGCTGACAGCCAGCCAGTCAGCCAGGCTGCCTGCCTGCCTTTGGGGAGGGAGTGGGAGTGGGACAGACCGCCTAAAGGATGGGCCGCCCTTTTCTAATCCACTGACTGAGTTATGCAGTGGAGCGTAAAGCATTTCAGCATTTTCCATCAATTCGTTGAGTGGGGCACACGCATATTACGTATACGCAGGGGCGTGCCGCAACAGCCTCTTCATTTTGCTCCAGCCTAACGACATAATGTGACTCGACTCTCTCTCTCTCTCCGTGTGTGTCTCTGTGTTTGTGTGTGTGTACACTCCTCATGTGTGCCAGTGCGTGTATGTGTGAGTGAGAGCGAAAAAGCGTAAGCGGAATTGCTTCAATTTTCGTTTTGCTTAACGGCCACCGTAGACACTTTTCTTTTATTGTTCCTTTCACATTCTCCATTCACATTTGCCGACGCTCGCTCGCTCGCCCTTCCTTTCGTACAGTCAGCCGCACAAGTGTGCGTACACCACTACGAGAGTGCCAGCAACAATGCTGTCATTATTTTCATGCTGATTTTTATTTTTATCTGCATTTCCATTACCATTTCCACTGCCATTTGCTGCTGCCTCTGCCTCTGCCTCTGCTGCTGCTGCTGCTCCTGCTGCTGCAAGGGGAACGTAACCTGCTTTTGGTTTTCTGTCCATTTTTGGGCATTTTCATTCCCTCGCCCGTTAGCCATAAATCACTCATATTGGTCCGATTTAATGGCGCTAATTGCGTTTGATACGCAAATGTTCGATTCACTGGCGAAACTAAGTTACCGAAAACAGCAGCTGCCTGGAATCAGGGCCCAAATACAGTTACAGTTACTCCCGTATGTTAATGCCCACTCTCTCTCCCTCTGCCTCTGCCTATCCCTCTACCTCTCTCTGTCTTTGTTTGTCCGTGCCCGTGAACAACACAATGGCGGCTCGTAAATTCGGCCTCTGAGCAGTGGCTGTGATTACATGGAGCGAGCCGGAGACTATGGACTCCATGAATGGCGCCTCTGTCGAGCGGCGAGGAGGCTGGCTGGCCCTAATTTATGCGGAATTTGAACAGCTGGCTTTGGGCCCAGTGCCTGTTTCTATGCCTATTCCTAGTCATAGCCCACGCAGGCGTTTTTATTTAGGTGATACATGGTGCCTGGGGATCCATCCCGATCCCCCTGCCTGCCCCACATACACATACATATGTACATATGTGTGGCTATAAATTCCAGCAAGGTCGGACGAGCAGTAGCTGCACGTAACAAGATTTTGCAAATAAATAAGATGAAGGCAAATCAGCTGACGCTGATTTAAATCAGTTTACGCAGAACTCATCAGGAGAATTTATTACGCTGCTGTGGCAGCTCCTCGCGGCGAGCCAAGGCGAGCAAAAAGTGAAAAATATCAAGCAAAGTGGCCACTTGAGCTGGGGAAAAGCTGCTGCTGCTGCTGCTGATGCTGAGCGTCGGGCATCAAAGGAGAGCGGATAACAGCCAGCAAATAAATAAGCAAATGCTCTCTGGCTCTGCTATAATGGCAGTAAGAAAGGTAAACCAAAGGCGAGGATGAGGATAAGACTGAGCCACGAGCAAACTGATTAAAAAACAGGCTGAGATGATGACGAAGATGCCGTGAACCATGGCATCGGTGAGCTCCAGCTGCGGAGGGGCCAGTGGCAGGGCAAAAGGCCGATGCCGATGCCGAGGCAATAACAAAAGGCAAGAACAAAAATTAAATTGAGCCGCAGGTGTAGGCAATTTCCACTCAAACGCTCACTTCAAAAGCCAAAAGGATGGTCCGTGCCAGCCCGGCCAGCTCGGGCAGCTCGGCCAGGATGGCTGCATGATGTTGGCAATGTTTCAATTCCGAGGCCGTTGCTTTGACGGCCCGCAAATGGAGCGGAAATGTTGCTCTGCCAGGGAGAGAGTACACCAGAGCCTGGCATTAACGAATGTCTGGCATAAATCTTGCCTGGGGATCATCTTACAATCAGTTTGCCTCCCTCTCACTCCAGCTCACACACACACACATTATATTGCAATTTCCGCCTGCTGAAAATCTAATAAATATAAACAATGGGCACTCCCGCCCCACATGTCGCTCGTAAAATAATTTCAGCAGATTTTCGTGGCAAGTGCCATCAGCTGGAATCGTCAGTAATAAGCGACCAAGGGGTACGGGGTTCAGGTTCAAGTGCTTTGATTTCCATAATGCCTCAGAGAGTCTGCGATTATTTATTCTCTGCGTAGTTTTGGCCAATTTTCCACTGAAGGCTAAAGGCTCCACAGAGGCCAAAGGCTAAAGGTGCGCAAATACGCAAACAGGGCGTGGCATATAGTAGTCAAAGCAATCAGTTAAGCAACGGCAAACGTAGCGGCAAAACAAATAAATAAATAAACGACGAGTGGAGAGGCAAACACAAATCAGCATCCAAAATAATTTCGAGCAAATAACAAATCATTTTGGGAGCAAAGCCCGAAAACTATCTGAAGCATCCCACCTACGCTACGACACACACACACACACACACACACACACACGTCTATGTACATACATATGTATAATTCTCTATTTCATCTCTTTCCCCAGATGAATCCAGCGACCCCAGGGAGGACCCCACGCCCGCTGAAACCACGCATCATGGTGGCACTGGTCCGGGGGGCAGCAGCAGTGCCGGAGGCGTGGGCACCGGCGCCAGCATAGGCAACGGGCCGGAGAAGCAGTCCACGCTCCTGATACTCGCCGCCACCGTTGTGATAGGCGCCGTCATTGTGACGTCAATTATCGTGGCCGGCATCGTCGTCGTCTGCCGGCACAGGCCGCGGCCACCTGAGCCGCAGGAGGTGCGCAAGAGCATGCGGTGAGTATCCCTACCTAGCCTCGCCTCGCCTCGCCTCTTTCCTTTGGCCTTTATCGGGCCCGTAGAAAAACTAATAATGAAATTGTTTGCTGCTGGCATCCGCTAGTATCTCTGCGTTTCTCTCTGCAGAAATAATTACGAAATTATTTATGTGGAGCACGTGACTGACAGCAGTTTCTACTGCTTGCCCAGAATTCCACGCTTATGCTTATTACGGAGAATGTAATGTAATTAAATGACGGTCGCACCGAGCAGCAATGGGCGCTCAATCAATTTTGCGCAGGCCGGGCCCCGACGCTGTCCTGCTTTAAACTCAGTGGCCAGGCCACATCAAAGGGGGGCGAACGAATCGGGTCCGGCTAATGTCAGGTTCATTAAAGACGATCGTCTTAGCAGTTTGAGGGGCCAATCGATTAGCGTGGCTCTGGGTGGGCCAACAAAGGGCACGCACCTGCCCAGTAAATTATGCTTAGTCTGTAATTAAATTAATTAAACCTGCACCTGACGACGACCCAACCAGAGGACACCCAGAGGCCAATGCAAACCCGTACAAGAAATGAATCCTCCCATAAACGAGCACCGGAAGCAAAGGCAGCCGCACAAGTGAAAGATTTCCATTTAAGATAGGAAATCAGCGCGCAAGGGTCGCTCGTTGCCCCATCCGTGGGTGGGTAATTAAGCAGCTGCTTAGCCGTAGCGGTGCCGTGTGGTGCTCGGTGCTGCTCCAACTCTGTCAACTGGCTGCCCGGCTAATGAAAGATAAACATGCAGCATCCCCCTACCCAGGCACCCACCCAGACCTCGTTTGTATCGATGGTGCAGGTTGATTGCCATGCCCTGGCCCGGATCTAGATCCGCACCCAGACCCAGACACAAAACTGTGATGAATTTTTTTTTCTTGAATTTTCCTCTGCTGCGGCAGCTGATTGCCCAATAATGAATTCAGTCGTACCACTTCAAAGCGAAACAAACCAGCGAAATATTAATTATAGTTTCCGAAAATAGTCAACCCCCGGCCACCAGTCACCAGTCACATGCACATCAAAGCGCGACAGCCGCATGCGGGTCATTAAATGGTCATCCCAACTGACAGGAGCTCTTCCTTACACCGCCCCCCCACCGACCACTGTTCGGGTCTGTTCATGAATAAAATTTCGGAATCACCTGCTGGCAGGTGGCAGCCATGTGCCATGTGCCGCCCCCCACCGATCTGATCTCTCCATTCACTCACCGATTCCCTTGTGCGTCTGTGCATAAATTTTAATGATTTGCCTTTTTGCGGCAAAAGTATTTGTGCAAATATTTGATGCATGTGCGTGTTAGTGTGCGTGTAGTATCTTTGGCGCAAGTCCCCACTGATAAGAGAGTGTGTTGTGTGCCCCTGTAATTAGCGTTCCCAGTGGCAATCGAATCGGGTTTATATCCAATTTACTACGCACCAGCGAGCGCGGCTGATTAAAATTAGAAAGTCCCAGCGAGAAATGGAATTATATTGCCAATATTTATTATTGCAATGCGGTGGATGGTCGCTGCTGGCGTAAATTCATTAAATTCCACTTGGAAGAATTGCAAATATTCCGCATACGCAGTGTGCGACGGCCACTAAATAAATAATGATTTCATTTCCACCTTTTTTTTTCGACCCTATTTACGCCCCCCCACCCCGTTCGGTGGGAAAGTTGCTGCAGTCGCTCCCCAGGTGACGGCCGGCTGTGAATGCTGCTGTTGTTATTGAAATTTTGAATTTGTGGCTTAGTTTTTTTTTGTTGTTGTTTTGGTCCAAAGTTTGTTAAGCTGTTTTTCATGCCACATAAGAGCGGGGCGGGCGGGGTCTCTGCCTTGGGAACTATTACCAACTTGCCTAAACTGACGCTCAGGGCATAGGCGTGCAAACTTTTAATAGATTTTGTGGTGACTTTTTTTATTTTTTGCTTCTGTATTTTTCTACCCTTCTCTGTAGGCCGGCGCGGAACGATGTGCCCAGCATGTACATCGAGGAGGACGAGCTGAATGAGCTGGAGGAAGGCGGCGGTCGAGCGGCTGAGATCCGAGCGCGCGTCACACCCGTTACCTCGCACATGTGCGGCGGCGGTGTTGGCGGCGGCGGCGGCGGCGGCGGAGGAATACCAGGCGTCGGCTCGAGTGGCGGTGGCATTGTGGGCGTGGCCGGACCACATCACTACATCTCGGAGAGCTTCATCCAATACGCGCAGCCCAGTCTAAACGGTACTATTCCAAAATCTATACTCAACAAGCTGTAGTTCTAGTTGTAGCCAATAATTTTAATTGTAGTTGGTTGTACTTGTAGTGGTAGTCAAGTAGCCATCCATTTATTTATCCATCCACCTATACATACAGAATATACATACATATGTACATATGCCAATGCCAAACCTGATAATGCATCCCCCAAATTGATTTGCTCAACGAGTTTTCAGTTTGCAAGTGGAGTACGCACTCAATTTTAATTTGTATTCGTAGTTTTAGTTGATTGATTTAGTTGATGCTCCAATTGAATTTTCTACCATCTGTACATAGTTCTCTTGCACACACACACACACATGCCTGTATATACTGCACACACACAGATAAATCTTTATGTTATTTTGTAGCCATTATGTAGATTAGCTTAACATCTCCATTAGTCGCATTGCATTCGGAATGCAGCCAAACGAAACGAAACAAAATGAATGAATAAATTGTGAATGCAATTCGAATGCAAAAATATCTATATATATATTTTGTTGTTGGATCTGACCGACAGTTTTGTCCGTCACTTAGTCTAATAGAATTATTATTTTTATTTATTTTTTTGATTGCTCGTCAAGTATTTTGGCATGCGATTGCGAGTGGCACCATTTCAAGGGATTTGCAAAAATGATATTCGAAGGGGGATCTATTGAAAAATACCTACACTTATGTATATTGATGTGAGCTGGCTTTAACTGGCGCTAATGATGCGGTCAAATATCGAGTGGGTTGCCAGTTGCCAGTTGCCAGCCACCAACACACATCTAAAATGCAAAAACTAATTTCCCTTCATTAAGCATCCGCAAAAGTAGCATTTGACACACAATTTTCTAATTAGCGCTGATCGAAGTACACAGCATTTCATTACGTTTCATTTCATTTGAGTTGAATGGAATTGAAATAAATCGAATTGAATTGAAACGAATTTGAATGAGTCTATTCAAGTATTTGGAAAGTTATTTCGCATTAGCAAAGGCACCTGTACGAGTACGAGTATGCTCTCACACCCACTAGCAGACAAAGCGTCGCCCCCTCCCCCACCCGTAATGCCCACGTAGCATATAGATCTCTATCTCTCTCTCTATCTGTCTTTCTCCTTCTCTCACTTTCTCCATGTATGCCTCTCTCTCTCTTATGTCTGTGTATCTTTATAGATATATTGTTGCTCCATTGCTCCAACCCATAGGTAATGAAAAACCCTTTCAACTCACAATCAAACTGTCTTAATCCTCAACTTGAAGTTGTAAATACCTTGCCCAGTACTTAAAGCAATGTAGTCCTCCCCCCAGCCCACCCCACCCAAAATATATACATATACGTATACGTACAGAGTTGAGCTGCTGTAAAGTTGCTCGCCGTTGTACGAGTAGTAGCTGCTGCGACTAACGAGACTCACTGTGTTCCTGTTATCCTGTTATCCACCCAGGCGATGTGCTACTACCTTTGCTTGTAACGTCCAGCCAGCCGGGCAGCAGCGGCTACCGCCTCGCCTCACCCGTCTCTACCGTGACCGTGCCCCAGTCCCAGCTTCAGCAAGTTGCTACAGCAGCTATTGCTACTACTGTTGCTGGGATGGGCAGTGGGAGGGACTCTGCCTGGCCGCCCAAATGTATGCAAAGTAAATTTTATGTAACTAAATCTGTGCAGCAGGCTGAAAGGCAACAGCCCCCACTCAAACAGAAACTTGCCCAGACACAGAACCCGAACCAGACCCAGGAACAGAAACAGAAACAGAAACAGGAACAGAAACAGCACCAGAAACAGAAACAAGTGCAGTTGCCACTGCAACTTCAGGCCCGAACACAGATGGGCTGCCATGTCTAAGCCAAGCTGCTGTCCGCTTGGAGCATTCGCTGTCGACAAGAGCTGGAGCTGAATCCCAAAAATATATTTAATGAACCATTCCAGAGACCATGGCATAGCATTTTTGCTTCATTTCACATTTTAATTTGTCGTCCATTTATGATTCCAATTTATATTTCTTGTTGCAGTGCTGCTGCTTGCTGCTTGCTGCTGCTGCTGCAACATTCATGCATTCACATGTCGCTCATCCAATTTCCTTTATTACCTTTGTGCACCCGAAACTATTTTGCTAGATTCCTTCTCATGGTTTATCTGCAATGCAAATGAGAGAAAAATGCCAGAGAACTTGCTTCCTTTTGCAGCTGGAGCGCCCTTTGAACGCTTCAAACCGAACAAATTAGCCAGATGAAGGGATCACGAGTATTAAATAAAAGCTAATTGAAGTTTATTAGTTTTTTTGACAGCCATTTTGTTTTGGCCAAAAATTAGAGGCCAGGGAACAGGGCCAGGGAACCGGGCCAGGGAACAGGGCCAGGGCACAAGCAGACAGGCAACAATACGAAACAAAAGCATCAGAGGATGCAGCAGCCAAATATTTTGGTTAAAAAGGATAAATGCTGCAGAGATCCCAGCTCCAAAACAGGGCAGGAGGGGCAAGACAGTGATGTGCTATGGGACATGGGGGGCATGGGGCAGGGTGGTAAGTACTGTTTGCGCAGTCTTTGTTTTTCGTTGACATTTGTGTTTATTTCTCTCTAAGCTGTCTGCCTCCACACTTCCTCACTGCCCCCATCCTGCTGCAGTGGCAAGCCTTTTAGACGTTTTGCATAAATTTTTGAAGCGCAGGACACGCCAGGGCAAACAAACATATGTACACGATTCTCTCTCTGCCTCGCTGTGCCTCTGTGTGTGTTTGTGCCTCAGACAGCAACAAATTTAGCAAAATATTCTGACGTTCCCGGCCCCTGTGCCGCTCTGCCCTGCTACTCTGCCGCTCTGTTTGCTGTGCGAGCTCATGCAGACTTTGTTTTAACTTTGAATTGCATAAATTTTAATTATTTCGAAAGCACTAAATTAAAACACAAAAATAAGCACAAAGGCACACACACTGGCACTCTCTCTCTCTCTCACTCTCTCTCGCAAATGGCGACCGAGAGAGAGAGAGACATGCCGACATGCTGGCAAATGCAAATATTATTTAATGGGCATATGTGTCTTATACGTGATATTATTGCTAACACAACATGGGGCCCCCAGCACCTCGTAGCCCCCGCGCTCACACTGCGTGGGGCTCAAATGTCACAAATTAGCTAAATTTGATTTTGTCAGCGATTTAATTTTATATTTTCATTACTTTTTTGCCCCCCGTTTGTCTTCTTTTTTTCTTGCGCTTCCGACTGCCTGACAGCCTCCTTAATTTATGTGTGCTTGGGGCGGCATGCGGCGGGGGCTCTGACACGACACAAGTCAACATACACACACACTTAGAGCCGGGTGTGTGAATATTCGTAGTGCCCCCAGTGCTGTCCTCGTAGTCGCACCCCGGCAGCACATAAACCAAGTCAACTGGCTTACAAGACACTAACAAGTGCCCAAGTCAGGCTGAAGTGCGCCCAAGGAGCGGTCGGTCCAGACACGCTGTACGAGTTGTTGTTCCGCCACGACCGAAAACTAAGGGAACACAGTTTAGGGGCACTCCTCGATGGGGATTACACTGCCCCAACAAGCAGCCCCCCAAAATGTCGCTGTCAACATCCCTGTCTCTTGAAGCTCAAAGTAGAACTTGAAGTTGCATTTTTGCACCCACACAGACACACACACACACACAGACCTTCAAGTGTTTTATTTAAAAATATTTATTTTTTAAACATATTTCAACTGCAAAGTGAAATGGAAATAAAGAACACAACAGAACTGAACGGAACACACACACATATGCTATGCACTGTAACTCGGGGCAGACAAGTGAGCTACTGGAACGACTGCTGCCATATACTGCCATCCCTTCATCTTGGCAGTGGCTGTCATTAGCCAACATTTTAAATTGCATATGCTAGTCCCTCGTGCTCTTCATCTCTGCGCTCGCGATTCAGGTGACTGCTGGGAGCCGGAGCCGGAGCCAGAGCCGGAGCACGGCCCCCTTGGCGCAGTCAAATTCGTTTGACTTTTTATGCCCCACAGTCATCCCTGCCCTGCTACGCAGTGTGGATCTGGTGGATCTGTTGGCTCTGGTTCAGTGCATGTGCGGGAGAGAGAGGGTGAATTTTTTTTTGTTTCATCGTTTGCTGTTGTTGTTGTGTGCACATTTGTTTCATTTCATGCTGCTCCATTCATTTTGCTCGGCATCTCTTTTTTGCCGCTTTTGTTGGTGTTGCTTGTCGTGCCGTTTGTTCTGTGTGTTTGACTGTTTGGCTGTGTGCGAGTCAAGAGTCGACACATCCAGCGTCTGAGCAACATTTGTGTAGCCTTCGTCCTTGTGCCATCTTCATCGTGTGTGTGTGTGTGCGCGCGTATTTGTGTAGCAAGTAATGTGAGTGGGTTGTAGGTTTCTTGTGCACTTCAGCGCCACTCGTCTAATTAGACAAAGTTAAGACCCAGCCACACACACACACACACCCAACAGCAGACACTCGAAATGAGAGCACACGGTGCCATTTTCTGTGACCCAGGAGTGCTGGCATTATCTTAAAGACTCCTTAAAGCATCCCTTCAATGGCAGCATACACGCACTTTGATGTCGTCGTAGTGCCGCAAAAAATGCCACAGAATTTGCCTCGGCAACATTGTTTATGTGGCCATACGCACCATTCTCAGCCACATTCCCACATCCTCCACATCCTCCATTCCCTCCTGGAGCCGCAATGTCAAGCGGCGTTCATTCATTTGTCGCCGCACTTCCGTTTCCTCACTTCGCACCGTCTTCACAGAGGTTTGATACCCTTCAAGAAGCTACAGAAGGCAGCATCTTTGAACTCTGTTTCAGTAGAAGTCTGGAATATTGCCATGCCAAATTTTCACAGCTTTCTTGACTATGTAGCGTCCATAGAAACGTTAAAGGGTATTAACAGCAACCGTTCTTTGGTCTTCTTGTGTGGTCTTCTCCCACTTTGTTGGATGAGGCCGTGACATCCAGGCTGGCAACATTTTTGCGACTTTTGACATTTTTTAATGCTGTCAGGCATGGCGTTAAAGTAAACGTGAAGGGCCACAGCCCACCGGGGCACAAATACACAAACACACACACACAAGGCCACATACGCATACGCAGTAGAGCTGCCTTAGTTTGTGCGTCTTTATGACTCAAAGACGCCACACAAATGTGACATAAAAGGCGATAATAATAAAATATCACACACAGGGTGCTCGCCAGCTCTCGCTCGCCAAATAACAAACTGCAAAATCGTAAAGGACAAGCGGCAAATGAAGGCTGCTGCTGCTGGCGCTGTCGCTATAGCTGTCGCTGGATGGCGCTCAAGATTCACTTGCGCCTCGAAGTCGGACCACAATAAAATGAATTCCGGCATAAATTCCAATGAAATGTGCCATAAAAATTAAGAAATTGTTGAATTATTTTATGTTTACGACAGAACAGTGGCAGGGGATGGGGTAGTGGGTAGTGGTTTGAGCCGTGAGCCGTGTCCTAGCAGAGTGAAGAATATTAATATTGAAATGTTATTCTGTTGTTCCGGTTTCTGGTACTCGTATTGTTTGTGTGTGTCGTTTCATGTTGCTGTTTTTATTAGTTGTTATTTTTATTTTGATTTTTATTTGTATTTGTATTTGTTTTCTTATCAGCGCACAAATGGTCTGGTCACGCTTTTGATATGTAATCTCGTATTGTGCTAATGGCTCTCTTTTCTTTTGCTGCTCAAATAATCGTTTGCAACTGTGTTGTGATGTCATTTTGCAAGAAATATCAACAAACCCCAAAAAAAAAACGAAACAAGCCAAAAACTAATCGGTATAAATATTTTGTTTTTGTTTCTCTAACACCAACACACCACCTCGACCATTTTTCAATCGCATAAATTTACACACACACACACACACATACATATTCACAAATACATATGCTTCCGGCATTGCTGTTGATTTTGTTTTATACCAACCTACAAAAGTGTATATTGCAGACCCGGATCTGATATTGCCGCGCGGCGAATTGGAATTTACGACCCTGGATCCCACGCTGAAGTAATTGTAAAAAGTAATAATAAATATCCGCCGCCATAGTGAACAACAACAGCCACAATAGACACAAACACACACACACCCCAACACACACACACACACACACACACACACACAGACACACAGATACTGATACAGCCGATCTGCGGTGAGAGCTCATAATTCACGGGCATTTCATTTAACATAGCTGTAAATTTTTAGCATAAATTTAAATGCATTAACGCGAAACAAAAACAAACAAAATAAGGTAAAACGTACTACGTACTGGTATCTGCAAGACGTGTTTGCGGGCATAGGCCATACATACACACACACACATACATACATACATACATACATACATACATAGATCGTTCTAGGGGATAAGCCATTTTGTAATTGTCAGCCATTTAAGTGTCATACGAAACCCAAAATCAAAACGAAATCCAAATACTGCTGCTCTATAAATAGGCTACAAAAATATTTGCAACTTAAATCAAAAGATACCAAAAACTTGTAAATAGCAAACAGACACCCATAGACATCCCAACATCCGGGAGGAGGCATTCAAATGGAAACTCAAAAAGGAAACTGTTGCACCATCAATTGTAAATAGAAAACGGGCAAACATTAATCAAACTGCATTTATATGTTGAATATTAACTGTAATTAATGAACAACTAGTCGATAAGCAATTAGCCAAATAAGCCTTGTGTATTTAAAGTGTAATTAGAACTCCTAGAGCTGGAAATATTGGTAATTATCAATGTAAATGCCACCACTCTCTGCCTCGGAGGCAATGGACTCGTACGATGGACAGGCAGTGTGTGTGCGGTGTCATTCACGCAGTTTATGTATGTCCGAATAACGATATATATCGAAATCCATTAGTCGTTAAAGCCCCATCTTGTTACTGGCCAGCAGAATTAAAATGTTACCAAAATACTCGTATATATTTCGGGGCCCCAGGTCCAAGCCATTCCGACTTACACAT